GGCTGCAGGCTTTCATAGTGTGGCTGACGAGCAGGTTGCAGGTGTGGTTGATTGGAGATTGCTCCCAGCCGTGTAGAGCATACCAGCAGGCAGAGAGAGAGACACACAGTAGAAAGAAACACATACAAACACTAATAGGGGTTTCAGGGACGGGCAGTGATAGTCGGTCCGTTCTTCTATATGTCTGTCTTTGGTTTTCTAAGTGTTATTCGATCCATATGAGAATAGAGAGTATGTGCATAAACAACAAAAACACTTGGGGTATAATGTTCGAACAATGTTATCACCAAACATTTTAAGAATGTTTTTAGAGAACGTTATCCTACCTTTCAGAAGTACATTCTAGGAACCAAAATAAGACTTCTCGATGAAACTATTCCTCGAACAATGAATGGTAACATTCTTAGAATGTTTTTAGAACCAACAATGTCTAGCCGGGAACTCGTGGGAACATGCCTACGCAAACATGCAATATCATGAATTACGTGCTTGTTTTTATGAAAATGTAGTGACATCAGATTTCTTTTAAACATCCTTTTCAAACAAATGCAAAAACTTTGTTTTTTAAAGCGCACTACAAATAAATCTGACGTTGGCCATGACCCTGTTAATATTTCGCATCACAGGAACATTTTATAAAAAAATAATAACCTCCTGAAAACATTATCCAAATGTTGCTTTCAAAATGTTCTTCATTTGTTATCATGTAACATTGAGGGAACGTTTTATAAAGAACATCTTTAATGTGTTACCCAACAACGTCCAAAACACATCCTCCGAATGTTACAGGCAAAACATTTTATAAAAAAACTTTCTGTCATCTCAGGCCTCAATAACATCCTCAGAACATCCTCTGAATGTTGCAGTTAAAACGTTATGTCTTAGTTAACCTTAAACCTTATAGGAACATTATTTGAAAAAATAAACATCCTAAAAAGGTTTTTTGAACATCAGATTAAAACGTTTCTTTAAAACCTTATTAGAACCTGTAGGTAACGTTAGCCAAAGTTGTGAGAACGTTCGCCGCTAGCTGGGCAGGCTTTCCTGTGCTAAAACCCAGGGGCCCTAAAGGGGAGTTGGAATGTCCATTAATTATATAATCAAATATATATCTAAAAAAATTATTGGGGAAGTAGTGGCTGTGAGCGAACAGGTCAGTTTTTTGCCTGTAGCAACGTTTGATAAATGTTTCCTGTACCCCTGTATTTATTGATTTAATTGGTCAGTCTATCCGTTATGAGCATCTTGATTTCTCATAATACCCAACCATTACAGTTTTAGAGACTTAAGGAGCAGTCCAGAAAGAAAGGCCCAAAAAAGACTACAGTTACCAGTTATTTTAAAGAGTTATACAACCAACCTACCCTATACTATTCACATGAACCATTAAGAGAACATCGAGCCAAGAAGGCAAAAGACACATTTTCCTATCACAATATATAATTTGTGAAGAACAGCATTTGCTGGCACTGACTGTGTATAAACTGAAACAAGTGCATCCACAGAACTGAGCACTAGACGATCCATACAATGCTGACCCTGGTTGGGGATTGATCACATTGTTTGTGCTTACTGGGCCAAAGTGGACCTGGAGGCTAGTCAAAACAGATATGCTGACCTTTCCAAGTAGTTTAGCCAATATAAACACCAAAGACATGCATCAGGAGGAACCGAGCTTTTGGCAACTATGTCAATATAACTAGACATGTCATACTGTTGAGAGACATGTCATACTGTTGAGAGACATGTCATTCTGTTGAGAGAGATGTTTTGTTATTTGAAAGACCAATACTAAATGGCCTACGACAGGATAAAAGTGCCCCCTCAGGTGTAATGTGGTCTTCCTGGCAACATTAATGTTAGCTGGCCATTTGAACACCATGATGCATTAACAAAAGCCTCCACTGACAAAACTACTGATGGTTGTACATAAGCAAAGCCTTAGTAGAATAAAAGTAGACATTTTAGTTTATATACTTTAATTTCATATACTGCATTTTGTCAAACACATTTCATACAAAGAGAAGCTAATAGTTAGTTGGCGAGTGCACTTAAAATGATAATACTGTCAAATAGTGAAAGTGACTTAATAACATTACATTCTCTGGGCAGACACATTTAATTTGCTCAAGTACCCTCATATTAACTTTATACAATAAGAACTGCAATTTTCTATACTGTATAACATTACAATGCTCTTTTTAAGAATACTTGACTTTGTTAGTGATACATTTGATCCCTCCAAAACATTTCAAAGACAATATAAAACGTGTTGCTGTGGTGTCTTGTTTGTTTCTGACAGCTCCTACAGTAAAATGTTGAAGATTTATATACTTATTTTCAGTCAATAGTTGTTTTCTGCTACATTGAAATTTACTGTCTAAACCACACAGTTCCAGACAAAATGTCTCAAACGCACTTTGTACTGTAGTAACAATCCTCTCTTACACAACAATTATTTATTTACTGCAATCACTTCTCTTTGTGCCTAACAGATGTATTTACTACCACCCACAGTTTATTTATTGGCTGTGGGTAAATGAAGAAAACATGTAGAAAGCACTAACCTTTGGTTGTTTGTCTTGAGATATGTTCCTATTTAATTACAATATGACTTAATAATTCAATAATAACGGCTTTGCATCATTTCAACAACAAAAGAGGATTTTTCAGTCCTAATAAAATCGAACTGTTTGTAACAGTTCTCCTAAGAAAGGGTCCTTCTTTGAAAGGAGGTTGAAAACCTGGCAGCATATTATTTTAAACCTACCTGTACACGCTAGTGATACAATCTCACTGAACCCCTCAAAAACAGGTGTTATTTGTCAGATGTGTGTGGTAAAGCATGTTTGGTGGATCTGACTTGGATTCCACTAGGAACAAGCGCTACAATGTAACAATATTTCAGGACACAAAACATTCTTGAATGAGGCCCAGTGTCTCTTATAATGGTAGGTGTATTGGGCTGAGCTCAAAGACAATGCCAGCATGGGTTATGATGACTATCGTGTCTGGGGATATTCAGGGGGCCAATATGGCCAAATATGGTACACTTTGAAAAAGCATGAATCATCCTAGAGTTTTAGCTAAATGTAACACTGAAATAGCATTTAACATCCCATTTAAAAAAAACAGCTGATATGATAATGGCCATTTACTTCATGTCTTGTCATCTAAAACATCCTTTCGATTTTACAACCAAGTTTGTTACACTCAAATGTACACAGTAATGTCTGTGATGCATTGTTCTATATATTTCAAAGCTCAGTTCTGTCTGATCATCATGTCACTTTATACAGTGGTCATTACTTTCAATGAGCCAGTGCGGAAGCGCAGGATCTTCTTCTTAAGGGCATGTGAGGCCTTAATCTTGACAAAAGCCTTGGGCTGCAGAGGTGCCCCTGGTTGGGCAGAGGGTGATGGGACGGAAAGTTGTGGGGGTAGTTGTTGTGGCCAAACCAGACCACCACTCTCATCTGAGTCACTGGACAAAGTACTGGAATCAGGAGAGTCTGCCTCGCTCATGCTGGACTCAGACTCTCCCTGACGGGGGTGAGGGTAGCCCTCTGTAGGCGGACACAGCGGCACTAGGTCCCTCTCTATCTGGTACTCCATGTGCTGATGATGGTGGGAGTGGGGAGGGGGTGGGTAGACATGCGCTGCATGAGTGGGGCGAGATTTGCGCGTTCGCCTTGCACAATGGTCCCTTTGGTTTGAAGCTGAAGAGCCTTGCATGGGTGCCTGCATGGGTGGCTGCTCAGCCTCGTCTTGGCTGAGTTCCAGGGTGGACTGCCAGCGCCGACAGCCCCCCCCTCCTTGCTGTTGTTTCTTGCTCCTTGATTGACTGCGGCTTCCCCTTCCACCACTTCCACTTCCTCCACCGTCCCTCTCCACTGTGTTGTACTTGCGTTCTGGAACCCTTTGCAGGCTGTTCTCTGACTGAGACCTACATGCCTTCTTCCCTGGCTTCCTGCTGGCCCCATTTCTGTCTTCATTCGAGCGACACTTCTTTGGGCCCGCTCTAGATCTGGAGGGTTGAATCTGGGATGCTGTGGGTGGCTGCTCTTGATGATGATGGCTTCTTTCTGGAGAATAGGTGGTTCGATTGGGTTTAGGCACCACGGACGCCTTATGGGGGTTTGAATGATGATGGGCATACGCTCTGGTGGAGGCTCGGCAAGGCTGGGCTGGGATATACTCTGCATTGACCAGCTGCTCATCAGGTGGCTGATGAGGCTTTGACAGAGCTGGAGGAGAAGGGTAGTTGTGAAAATGTTGCGGTGACTCGGGTTCGCTGTTGCTGGAGTCTGGGTGGGGCTGAAGCACTCTGCAGGCTGGATAGTCCAGCAATGTTGAGCGGGTGATGTTAATCATGGATGTCTTTCTTGACCTGTGATAAAGTCCTGGTTGATGCTGGATACTGGGCTGTAGATGCTGGTGGTACGGGGGTGGGGCATCTTCAGTAAACCCTGTCCCTAGGTAAGGCTCCTGGTCGAAGTTATGGCAATCCTGTGGAGCTTCTGTACTCTGGGATGGAGAAGTGATCTCTTGAACAGACACCTGCTTCGCTGAATGTTGCTCCTGATTGCGGCATAAACTACTCTGCCTCACCACACTAGCAGCTCGGGGATCATGGGCCAGACTGGTTCGGGGTTTTGAGGAGCGCAAGGGTAGAACTCGGCGTTGGACCAATCCAAATATATAGGTCTCAACATTTTGTGCTTGTTGATAATCTTCCTGACTCGGGTCAACATCCTTCATCTGCCCCAGAGCATCATTAACCATGGCCCATCTTGATGAGTCTGGCAGCCATGTCTCCCCCCTCTCTGTCTCCCCTGTCCCCTCAGGTGCTGATAGGGATCGAGGGACCAAAGGATGGTAATTTGATTGAGGAGATCCATTTTTACGGGCTGCAAGAACCTCTCCTGGTAAACAGAGAAAAGGCAAAGAAAGTTAGCAGAATCATCCTTCCTTTTAAGATCACCTTTATTCATTTGAGGGGGGATTCAGTTATCCACTCTGGTGTTATTTATGGCCCAAAATAGACACACACATGCACAAACAGGACCGATAGCATGCACTAATGGAGAGGTGGCTGAGTGAAGGAGCCGTTAGGGGTTTGGTGCCTTGCTCAAGAAGACATGGGCAATGCCCAGGACTCCACGACAGTCTGTACAAAACACATAAACATATGACTACTTTAATTGGAAGGCAAATCTGTATCAACCTGGTACTTCTACACATTGATGAATCATAACTTCATATACAGTATTCTTTCTTGAGAGGAAGTTTGGTATTTCAATTTAAATTATGGAGGGAGAAATCCAATAACAACAACAAACCTTCAAACGAAGCATGATGAGTTTTTATTTATTTAAATTATATTTTTAATTCTACTACTATATACACATTTTCTGACTCATCAAAAGTGGATGCCTTCATTTGCATTTACAAATGATGTATTTGTGATTAAAGATGCAATGTGTGGTTCCGAGCCACCCGCTTCAGAGAAATAGTGGGCAGCATTTCACTTCAATTAGTATCTGCAAACAAATGAATACATTTCAAGTCATCAATTGTTTACAGGAAGGGCACAAATATGCACACCTCTAATAAAGTGCTAAAACTAAGAGAGCCAGTCAATATTTTCTAATCTTCAGATGTGGCGCGTGGGCCTTGTGTGTTTCCCTTGAATTGACTTTTACCAGTGGCTGTATGCTCCATGCTTTATGTTAGTTTGTTTATTGTATTATTGTGGAGGCATGCCTATTTCAGTACATATATCTGCAATGCAATACATACACGTCTTGGACCTCTTCACATTTGGTTGATAACGATCTTACACATTGCACCTTTAACCTACAAAAACATGCAACACTGACCCTGGGCTAAAGTTTCAATATGACATGATGTACCAGTTTCATGAATACTATTTTAGTTCTGTTCCAAACATAATAGCCGAAGACTCTTCACTTGCTAGTTGCTACACAGGAGAAATACATTTTCTTTCAGAATTCCCAAACAAATGTTTGAGAATGTTCTTTGTTGGCCAAGCAAACACGGGAGAAGTGTCATTATGGTCGTGCAGAATGAGATGACTGCTTCTGTGGTACAACAGACAGCATTGTTTGTCGTTTTAAATCCCAATGTGCTCAGATATGGGTCTCATCTTCTTCACCGACATGAATTATGGGCTTAGATGTGGTGAAACTTCAGTGAGGGAGGACACTTAGCCACTGAGGATGTGTCATATATTTGTCTGCTTGATGTTTGTTTACCAGGCACTAAACTGCATCCATAATAACCCCAGTGTCTACAGCATTGAGCTCAGGCAGACTTTTTAATTAAAGCATTAGACAAAAAAGAGTATATATAATAATCCATTAAGAAATGAAGGAGATTTGTTTTCTCTATTCTGCACACAGAGACAATAGACTACGCAATGCACACCATTGAGTTATGTAACAGTTACAAAGTATAGAAGACAATTTTGCTATGTTGTATGTCTGTACAGAGGAAAAATAACCTCTTGGCTAACTGGCACCTTTACAATATTGTATATTAATGTGCACTGCCCATGGTAAATAAATACATACAAATAATTAAATAAGCTTAGGTAGTGTCCATCATCAAAATTGCATGTACTTTTCACTAGAAACGTCTTTCAGGGAGAAGCAAAGGTGGTTATTTTTACCTGAAATCAGTTGGCTTTCCTCCCGTGGGTCAGTAGGGGAACCTGTTGAGTGGGCCCCCGTGCTGACCTTCAGCTCTGCCACCTGCTGCTCTAAAGACGCCTTCATACCCCACTGCAGACTGCTCTGAAATACACAGAGACAGACAGGTCAGTAGATTGTATTGAGAAGGGGTGGAATGCACAAAAGCATGATCAAAACAGAGCACACACAAAAAGAACAAAAACATGTTTGTGTTTGGCAGGCCCTTTATTTTCTACTTGTATATCAGTGCTTTATGCTTCAAGACAAATTCAGTTTTATTACAGTATAAGTGTTATCCAATAGCATCATTTAAACTTTCAGGGGAATAGTCATTATGGCTGCAGAAACTCACATCCTCACTTCCATTAAGCAGGTCAAGCTGATCGGTTCACATTTGAAATTGTGTACTGCATTTGATGAAAATGTTACTTTTTTGAAAGGCTTTGGCCAACAAGTATTGGAGTCAATTATGATTTGACTGCACTCAAGTGTTTTCATGCAGCCTTCTCATCGTCATTGTGTACACAATGTGATGCTCATTTTGGATTTCATGTTATTACGATTTAATGAGTAAGTAACATCTTACCTGTGTAGTTGGATTTTTCCAAAGATCTGAGCATTATTTATATATATCCTAATACGCAGTGACCCAATTTACACTTTTTGTCCTAATCTATTAATTTTGGCTTTCCGGGGTTTTCCCTATCCTGTAGGGTTCTAGACGTTTCAGTGCATGTAAATGGTCTGCAAAGACTAAAATCCCTGTGTTCCCTCCAGAGGGAGTTTCTCTCCCCCCTGCCTGAACACCTCCATTGGACTCCTTTGTTTACTTCAATAACATAGTGACATCACTACAGTATGTAACACTCGCACTTCCATTGGCTAGTGCTCCAACACATTGTAAGTAATAGGCTATGGGCGGGACATCTCTAAGCTGTTGACCAATCACAACAGAGCCGGCCAGCTAACCAATCAGAGCAGACTGGGCTCTGGTTTCAGACAGAGGGTGAAAAGAGGTGCTGCAGCACAGGCAGTATGAGAACAATAAAGAGCTTTTTGAACATTAAAGCATGGAGACGTGTTCCAGTAGAGACACTACATACTGATATGAACCTGAAAGTGAGCAGAATATGTCCTCTTCAAAAGAACACCAAATCCAAATTGCAACATATAGCCTATGTGAAAACACTTCAAATCCACAATCATTTGGAGTGTGGATACCACTCCCTTCTCCTCTCCCAGGATGAGAGGTAGAGACACAGAGAGCAACAACCTTCACATTCACAGACAGCTATGACCACAACCACTTATTATCACAACACTGGAACAATAACATGCCAACCATCAGCACCCCCCACCCTCCCTACCCCCAG